ACTGAAAACCCACCTTGGCAGGAGACATATCACGAATGACGGAAAAGTTTAATGTCAAGTAAAAATATGGTTTAGAAAATAGAGCATGCAGTTATATGCAGCATGTTTGGAAAGACTGATAAAATGATGGGACAAGTGCAGCAGTGTTGGTGGAAATTATGTTGAAGATAAAGGGACAGTGTATGTGTAAAAATTAATGATTTTCAAGTTGTAATCATCTTTTTTTTTCTTTTTTTCTTTCTCCAAATAGGTATTTGTGACTCACTTATTGACTTCCCCTCATACCTGAATGTTTAATGTAGAATTAAGAATCAACATCACAGTACTCGGGACGCTCCCGTAACCCATAAACGCTCAGTCCCCATCTTCGCCAGCAAGTGAAGATTCAAATTCCGATGGCACCAGTAACTGTGTGATTGTATATCCATCTCACTTTTCCCTTGAGCTTTGAGCATAATCCCCTGGTAACTCCCAGCAGCGCCATTCTCCTCAGATCGTAATGATCTGTGTGTGCCTCTGCACTGTTCACTCGCTCCCAAAGTGCCCTCACAACATCTAACTTGTCATATATCAATTCAGGTGGTGCAGAATCTTCCAGTCTATCTGTCTGCACTTTTCCTAACACACTGGCTTGACCAGGAAAAAATATTCAAAGAGCGCTAACTACCCAGGACCTCTGAAGCGATGCTTGCCACTCTGCATGGATATTCTTATCTCCACCTTTCTCAACATGCTCTGTAAGTCAGTTACAGTTACGACCTATGTGTACAGCTGATTCTGTAGCCAGTGGAAGACAGCCATAACTGCCTTCACCTCCATTCTCAAACTAGATGAAGTGATATCATATCCAGACTTTGCTGCATTAAGCAACGTCCTTTCGCTTTTGCTATGAACCCCCATACACTTCATCTGCCTCTCAACACAGAGCCATCTGTATAGATAATCACATCATCTGGACGGGAATTGTCATGAATCATTTGTTTAACTTCTGATTCTGCAGCACCAGCTTTCCAGTCCCTGCACTCATGACCTAAACTGATTACAACCCTACACATATCTAATTCTTCCTCTCCTTACCCAAATTTTTCAAGCCTGCACTCATGTCTAATTGTTTCTTCAGCTTGCCCCATCCAAGACCTTCCTCTTTTCAATCTGTGGCCCTCAGCTGTACCTAGGGCGTCATGCAGGAAGTGCTTCTTGTCTGCGGCTACTCTGAGATATGACTTTGCTTGCAAAACTTTGAGCCTATCTGTAATACTAGGCAGTGCAAGTATATATCTAAAATACCTACACCCATGAAACACCAGCACCTTATTTGTGGTATAAGGTGCTGATTGTTTGCACCATTCAGCACTTGCTGTATGGTGTGTTCAACATCATACCAGCTAAATTTCCCACCCCCAAATACTGCAGCTGGAGAGAAAAAAAATGAATGTACCCATGGCCCCTCATTTCAATAAACAAGCATGTCGCAAAAGGCAACCAGTTGAGGATTTGTTAAAATCGGATACGCTAGGGCCAAAAGGCGCATCAGGCATACGGGATGAGCACCAATATTTTTACAGACCAATCGGCACTAGGCGGGTAATGTGGTCAGCATTACGCCGTCCGTCTTTACTTCCCCAGGACATACATCCTGGTACCCATTTTAGGCTGGGTCGACCTGCGACAGCACATTGGGGCCAAAAGGTGCACATATTTCAGCCTAGCTGTAAACTACAAAACAACATGCCAACCACTGCTTTAGGGCTGAATGCAGGAGAAGAAGAGGAAATAACAGCTACCTGTATTTCCTACAACATTTTCTGCTATCTGCTGAAGGCTGGGTTTGATTTGTAACCCTTGTCAGTGTTTGAATTAAAAAAAAAAAATGTCTCAAGGGAGATTTGAATTCATAATCACTGGATCGTTGGGTAAACATGTTAGCTACCATGGCTTCCTGTAGCTGTTGTGTAAGTAATGGATGTTACCATGTTAACAGTTGAAAGTCCACAGGATCAGCTTCATTGCACAGGGTTTTATCCCCTATGGCTTGGTCTCTGTCTGCAGAATGGCTAGCTGTCTGCCAAGAGTGTCGCACAAAGCACAAACTCCTTAGCTCTAGAGATATATCAGGTATCTGGTGCACACAACATATTTGGGTCTATTTGTCACTTGATAGGTAATGCAATCAGTATCATGCCACTGCCATTACTTCTCAGGACATTTCCTGGTGGCTAGTTTAGTCTAGGTATCTGGAATCACTTTTACTTCTTTGAACATTTCCTGGTATCCCTAATCACAGCTCCTTCATATCCATATTATTCATATATATGATGAAAAGTGAAAGAGAGAGAGAGAGAGAGACAGAGGCAGAGAGAGAGAGAGAGACAGAGATTTATATATTTATTGTACATAAGAGTACTGATTCATCCTTCCTAGCCTCAGCTAAGTGAAAAAGATCTTCCACCTAAGAAGTTAACTAAGTCCCCTCCAAAAGTGCCAGTGGAGCAGTTAATTCAAGGAACTGCCCCTCCACCTGTGCCAGAGGATGGAAAGTTTGTGAGAATTCTATCAAAAGATCAACCATGGGATATATACAAAGACAGCCTTTCAGGCAGATTGTATTATGTTAATAGAGAGTCCGGAGAGAGGCTATGGAAGCCACCAAGAAAAGTTGCTGCACCTTTAGACCAGGTAATTGATAGTCTTGTATTGTTGTTAGATTTACTTTAAGGCTTTTCACTTCAAAAATTATTGCATCTTCAGACTACTTAATGCCAGTAATGTAAGTCTTTTCTTCCTCAAAATTATTTTGTTTTTAGACTAGGTAATTAATAATGTAGTATTGTTGTGGGCCTTTCTTTAAGGGAGGCATTACTTTGAAAATAACTTTTTCAGAATTACTCTTATCTTCCAGCAAGATAATTGAGAGTAGTAATGTTGTTGTCATTACTTTAAGAAAGATTTGTCTTCAGAATTACTTTATCTTCCGACAAGATAATTAGTAGTGTAGTAATGTTGTTGTCATTACTTTAAGATTTGTCTTCAGAGTTACTCCATTTTGTGGCAAGATAATTGAGAGTGTAGTCATGTTATTGTCATTACTTTAAAATTAGTCTTCTTCATAATTACTGCATCTTCAAACAGGGTAATTAATAATGTAGCATAGTTGTTATTAGTGGAGTACACACGGAAGATCTTGATTTTGCTGATGATATTATTCTTCTAAGCAAAAACAACAGTAACATGCTCAGAAAAACAGATGACAACAAATATGATATCAAGGGTTAGACCACAAATAATTTATGAAAAGACATATATTTTTAAGATACCAACCAGATCAAGCAGATGTAACACTAGAGACAAAAGGAATTGAAGTAACAGATCAGTTTTCTTATTTAGTTAGTTATTTTGATAGGGAAGGAATTTCGAAGAAAAAAAATTATGACACACATTGGCAAGACATCAGCAGCTTTTAAAAGCCTGAATAAAATATGGAACTCTAAATTGTATAGTTTTAAAACCGAGTTATGTATTTTCAACTCTAATGTAATTTCACTTTTAACATATGCAAGTGAAAGTTGAAGAACCACCAATGACATAGAAATGAAAATTAAATGCATTCGCAAACGAATGCCTAATGAAAATGTTGAACATAAAATGGGATGAGTTCAAAAGAGGTTAAGAAATAAGAGAAATGTCTGAACAACCACTACTATTACAACTTATAGGTCAGGGAAGTCAGCGTCTGTGGCTTAGGCATTGCATTCTTGCTTTGTAATGCCGGGGTGCTGGGTTTGATCCCAGCTGTGGACGATTTGGCAGCAGAAGGTCTTGCTTTGGTTTCGACAGTGGTACCGAGAGCTGACCATTCAGGAAGCAATGGCAAACTACTGAATGTAAAAGTTGCTTAGGAAAATCATCATCATCATTATGTAGCAGTTCCTTTGCAGAACGTCGCTCTCATCACAGTCTGCCTGAAAGAGACTCGGTCTCTCGCCAGCTCTCCCGCCTCATGTACTTTCATACTCAAGGAGTCACTTATATCCTGTGCCCATCTTTGTGTTGGTCGGCCCCTGCCCCTCCTTCCTGGTACCATGCCTTTTGCTATTATTTTTTCCAGTCCGTCGGGGCTCTTGATATGACCAAAATATTTCAGCTTCTGAGACAGGATGCTGTTTATTAGCCAATCTTCCGTGATGTTCAGATCTTTTAAGATGTCAGTATTTCTCCTCTTCTTTGTCTAAGATATACTGAGAATCTTTCTTTAGCATTTCAACTCAAAAGCCCCAATTCTATTTCTTAAGGACTGGGAGATAGTCCAAGACTCACATCCGTGTGTTGCTACAGGGAAGATGCATGCTCTCAAAATTCTAATTTTGATCTCCTTGCTGATGCAAAAAACCACAGCCGTTACAAAAATTGCTGGGATTGGTTTGGCAACATCCTTTAAAGGATACACAATCAACTTTCACAGCAGGGAAGAGGGCGCTATATTGGACACTTACTGAGAAGAAACAAGCAGAGAATCACCTAACAGGCACTGGGATGGGAAATAAATGGATGAAGAAGAAACCCTAAAACGAAAGTTGATGAGAAAGACCAGTGGTGCTGGACTGGATTCCATACATGATATTCAGTTTGATTGCACTACCCTCGAAGTCGGAGTACATCTGCTGGTGAGGCAGGAAACGGCAAACAAATAAGCCAGAAAACAGGTGTACACACAAAACTCAGGTCCAGGTAAAAGCCAAAAGTCTAAATGGACAATCTACCGGGACCTTCCGACGGAATTCACAGCCAGTGAACGAGAAGAAGAAGAAGTTGATTGCACAGAATAGTACAGAACAGAGAAATAAACTGTGAGCCCTGTATGGCATGTAATGGCATAACAGGACAGTGAATAAATGTATTGTCATTTAAAAATGAGACTCTAGAAGCCACACAAGGATTTAGTGTATGAGCAGTGTTTATTATTGGCAATACCTTTTTAATATTTGCCTTTGATAACTCCACAGTCAAGCTTGCCGTCAGCTGTCTCTTCAGTACAAGTTAAAGAGGAGAAATTGGACACACCTGCTGAATATGACCAGGTCCAAGAGAATGGAGGCATATATTATGTCCATAAAGTCACTCAGGAAAAGGTACGACAGACTATAGTTTCTTTGAATGTTCTAATCTTTTTTAAAGGTTCCCTTTAACGTAGTCAGCGCATTGAGCATATGGTGCTATACCCGTATTTTTATAGACTAATTGGCACCTTATGGGTGCAGGCTGCCTTTTCTTCGCATGTAATTTCCGGTCACCTGTTTGAGGCTGGGTCATCTTATGAGCCCTAGGTCAGTTATAAATGATAGCCTGGTTGCAGAATTAATCCCAGAATCTCTGTATCGATGAAGTATTTGTCCCCAGCTGGTTCACATCATCTACAAATAGTCCCTGTGTAGGTTCGGGGGCCCCATTGTTGGGGGGAAAAAAAGAAATGATCAACAGCCCCCTAACAAGCATGTCGTAATGTCGACTAATTAGGGGTGATTCCTTCTAGGTCGGAGTGCATCTGCATGAGAGACAAGGAACCAGCAGTCTGCATACAAAATAAACCAGATCTGTAAAGTGGACATGTACACAAAAATCAAGTTCTGAAACAAGATTAAAGTCCAGAAGTGGACAATTAACCAGAACTTTCAGCCAGAGTTTACAACCAGTGAATGTTATGATGAAAATGAAGATCTTATAATAGGGACATAAATTATGTATGTGTGTGTGTGTGTGTGTGTATATATATATATATATATATATATATAAAATCATATTTCTCTCTCTTTTATCGTTAGAGAGCAAAGAAAGACATTGTTAATTAATCATTAAATAAAAATTTGTTTAACTCCAGCTGTTTCATTGTTACAGTGGAAGGGCTTGTCTGACAGTTCAGGCCGCCAATATTTTCACAAAGTGGGCAGCTCCGGTACCCAGTGGTCACTTCCAACATTGTCTGAGGCCTCCAACGCAGACAGTGTAACTCACAATGGTGCAGATACAACTGTTCAGGTATTCTATTCACTTTTACATATGTAATTCAGGTAGTAACAACTGACATGGAAAATCCTAAGAAAAAAACATGCATATTTCCTGTGGCAACATATGGATGTAAATCGTGGACTTTTTTACAAGCACTACAATTTTTTTTTCTTTAAATTGGGGTGTTTAAACCTAAATTTTAAATGAGATGTCTGAGAAGGGCTTCATGAGTGACCAGAGGAGGTCATAAACATTCTGCATGTTTTTCGTTGGCACAGGAGCGGAGCAAAGATGGGATGACCTGTTTGCTGTGAAGCTAAAACTAAGAGAACCAGACTACCAGACTTACTCACTCACTCACTCACTCACGCACACACACACACACACACATTTTCCTTGTTAGAGCGATGTGTAAGAAATCCTGGACTTTTTGTTTTAAAGTGTAATTTTATTTGAACCCTCATTTTGAGGTCAACATTTTATGAGCTAACAACAGTATATATTTATGTACAAAGGAGAGTTAAAAAAAAAATGATCTACAGTTTTTATTCTACAGTTTATTTACATGAAGCTTGGTTTTCTCTAAGCACATAATTTTCTGCTTTATTTCCCTCCTTACCAATGTGCTTTGCCCAACCATTCAACAAACTTACATATTCCTTTCAAATAAAAGGTTTTCAGTAGGTCATAAAGCCACTTTTGCACCACATTTTGCAAGTGTGAGCTTGTGTTCTGCAGTAAACTTTCTCGTTACCCACTGTGCACAGACTTTATGAAAGCCGAGTTCGTCGTGGATGATTTGATGGGCAGACTAATGCTTAACGCAGATGCTACCTCATTGAGGTAATTCACCTATTTGCCAGAACCATCTTTCGAACTTGCTGAAAGTTGTCATCTGTAGTGGATGTTTATGGCCATCCAGCTCCCTCTTCATGCTTTACATTTGTTTGACTACTTCTAAACTTTTGAGCTACAAAAACATAGTTTTACATAATAGTGCACTTCTCACACATTGTGATGATAGTCTACAGTGAATTTCTGAACCTTTGACACCTTCCGGCCAGAGGTATCCTGTAATTGCTCCTCCGTTCCTGTTTGGTGCAAATTTCTAATAGAGCGGACATACTCTATCTGCAACAGAAGGAAAAAAAATGGCAGAATTAGTATCAAATTGTCATAGCCTTACCACAAAAGTATAACAATAAAATAAACGAGGACAGAAGTCAGCGTGACAGTGTAAAAAAGAGTTATGTCAAATATGTAGGTAATTTTTGACTTTCCCTCGTATTTTTATACATGTTATTCAAATCAACTGGTTGTCATCTACAGATCAAACCAAGATTAAGGGTAAGTATTCATTCTCTGCAATTCAGTAGTTAAAGCTGACGTTTAAAAAAAAAATATTTTTTAGCTCCTTTTTTTTATTTGCTTGTAGAAATGGCAGATATTTTTCTTTGAAAACTCTTTTGTTCAATGCTAAAGTTTAAAAAAAAAATCTTTGTTTTCTCTATACATAACATTTTTGTTTTACAATTCAAGTAGTGCATTTGATTTTAATGCTTATTTACATTCACAACTTGAGTGAGTAATTCTGCTTTATTATGAGTGAAAATGTGAAATTCGCTCTCACTGAATTTAGTAAGTCAGACAGTCAAAATGGGTGAACTACCAGGACCTTCGGTCGGAATTCACAGCAGGCGAGCGAAAAGAAGAAGAAGAAGAAGTCACTGAATTCATTTTAATTCATTAAAATAATTAAAGGGATCCATGGTAGTGCAGTGACTAGCATGTTTACCTTCTAGCCCAGCCAGCATAGGTTTAAATCCCCATTGAAATGAACCCTTTTGCCCCACACAAATGCTTTAAAAAAAAGGGGTAATGAATCAGTAGGAATTCCTGAAAAAGATCCTTTAAAAAAAAATCAACTATATTGCACAGTCACAAATAAATTTAAACGTGTATGTATCTACAGTTGGTAATTTCTTTCAAAATATATAAAGATATAAAAAGGGGTAATCAATAAATATGAACAGGTTGAAACATACAATGGAATATTTTCCCCACGGCCTGAAAATTCTTATATTGTGTGACTCATGCCATGACCCCAAGATCTCTATCACCTTTATGCCATGCGTTTTCCACCTTTTATGTTTTGCATTCTTCACCCTTTATACTTTGCATTCTTCAATTTTGCTTTGCCTGTTTCTGATATTCTAGTTTAACTTCTACTTGACTGATATAATTTAATCATTTTATAGTTATATTGTGTGCACATTTGATAATGTAGAGAATGTTGTATTAATGCATGTATTCAGGTAAGATAAAAACACATACGGATGAGTCATATTTTTTACAAACTCTTTTCTTTTGTACTTTTAAAGAGCTTGGACAGGGACTTTACTGTTACATATCAGGAGAAGTAATAGAAAATGATAATATGTTAGAGAAATAATTACATTAAATCGGTTCTGTGTTCAGAGAATGAGAACAAATAAAGGAAACAAAAAGAGGGAGAGAGAGAAGCGAGAGTGAGAGAAATGATTATACAGTGGTACTTCAGCTCACGAACACCTGTGGTCATGAACAAATTGGCCCAAAAAGACAGTTTCTGAAAAAAATGTTTGTCTCGACCCGTGAGCAATATCTTTGCCCACGAACTTACAAATGTGGCTTTGGGACCATATTTTCAGCTAGCGAACAGAATCAGGTGCTCCCAGGTTTGCACACTGTGAAGATTGTTTATCGTTGCGAACTTCTTGATAAATTGAGAAAGTGAAAGGTGTTAGTGACAGTGGTGTCAAGAAGTCTAATGGTTTAACCATAGACACAAAGAAGGAAATAATCACCAAACACAAGACGGGTGTTCATGTTTCTGATCTCACGCAGCAGTACGACATAAATCTACCATCTATACTGTCTTAAAGAATCAAGTTGCACTAAAAACGACTGATATGGCTACATGAATGACTATGTTATTGAAGCAAAGGTCTGAAGTGTTAGAAGACTATTGATAGCCACCTAGCCAGCAATCGAACCACTTCCCAGGATACAAACAAAAGAAATAATACCAGAAATACTTGCACAGTTGCCTGATGTTTTTATGGAATGAGTCTCTCCTTTGAAAGAGTAGTCTTTCTCCTCCTCTACAACCTACCTGTGCAAGCAGCTATCAACAACAGAGGTAAACTTTATATATATATATATACACACACACACACACACGCACGCATGCACGCACACACACACACACACACACACATACACACACACACACACACACACACACACACACACACATAACTAAATGTTGCCTCATATTAATCCATAAAAAGTCACAAACAAAAACAACAATATGTTTCTGGGGAGGGCGAACAGATTGATTAGATTTGTATTGATTTCAATTAGGGCTGTACCAAATATTCGCTTTTATTCGCTTTGGGGCCGAATAGTGGACCTAATAACTATTTGGTATTTGGCCAAATTATTGCGGTTGGGCCGAATACGAATAGTGGTTACCTTACTCCCATTTCTGCATACACTGTGATGGACTGAAATAACTCTCTCATTAACACAATAGTTTCTGTTGCCTTAGTCTGTCGTAGTGGGGGAGACTGTGACCCGGTTGCGTGGTACACCTGCATAAAATGCCAACCGCAGTGTGTGTGTGTGCATGTGTGTGTGTGTGTGCATGTGCGTGTGAGTGTGTGTCTGTGTGAGAGAGGGAGAAAAGGAGAGATCATGCATTTTGTTGTTTTTTAGGGTGTCTTCGCCCAAATCAAATTTGAAGATATTGCTAACGATAATATGAAGGTGCGTTTAAATTACATCGAACGAACGGCCGAGCGAACAATGGTTTTGAAAGAGACGGGAGCCCGAAGACAACTAATCACAGACATCAGAAGGAGACAGTCATCATTTTATAGCCATGGTATGAGAAGAGGGAAAATGGAACATTTGGTGACCACTGGAAAGATCTGTGGAAGGAGGGATAGAGGAAGACAACAATAGAAGATTCTTGACAGTCTTGTTGCACGGCATGGAGGTGTGTCAGCACACAAACTGATACATGCTGCAGGAGATTGTGGAGAGGCATGATCACACACGCCAGTCGGCAAGTCATCTGATGATGATGATACACTATTTGAATTTGGCTGAATCGATGGTACCCACTATTCGTATTCGGCCGAATAGTGAAAATCGCTATTCGGTACAGCCCTAATTTCAATAGGAAAAAATGTTTCGGATCGTGAACATTTCTGTTCACAAGTGGAGGCAAACAAAGAATTAAGTTCGTGATCCAAGGTACCACTGTATGTTAAGAGAAATACTAGATTAAATAGATTATATGTTAAGAGAGAGAGAAAGACAAAAAAAGGTGTGTGTGTGTGTGTGTGTGTGTTTATATTTATGTACAGAGAGAGAGATAGAGTTAGAGGAAGTGGACAGTGAGGGAAGGAAAGAAAAAGAAAGATAAAAAGAGAGATATAAAAGCTTGACTAAGTATAAATTATAGTTTTAGCGCACATCATATTAGACTGTGCATCCTACCTATTGATGCTGTTGATGGGCATTCCACAGATGTTTTTCACCTGTGAAGTTCTCAAAGTTTACCTAAAACTCTGGCCCTGTGTAATTCTGAAATTATTAGACTCCACTGCAAGAAGTCTTTCTAGCAGTCTCTCCATGATTCATATTAGTTTATTTAACAGCATCTTCTTTAGTAAATATTTACAACTGATATATTTTTCTTGTTAAACATGCTTGAGAACTGGATTTTATACTTTTTAAATACTCCTAAATATACAGCTAATATTTGTCCTGTCGTCAAGAAGCAAATTTCTAATAGTACTTACTGTCAATACCATGTTTCATTCTGTTGGTCTTGGATGTGCCATTCTAGTAGTCTTGGATGTGCTGTTCTGGTAGTCTTGAATGTGCTATTCTAATAGTCTTGGATGTGTTATTGTGGTAGTCTTAGATGTGCCATTCTGATAGTCTTGGATGTGCCATTCTGGTAGTCTTGGATGTGCCACTCTGATAGTCTTAGATGTGCTATTCTAGTAGTCTTGGATGTGTCATTTTACTACTCTTAGATACAGCATTCTGGTAGTTTTGGCTATATTATTCTAGTAGTCTTGGATGTGCCATTCTGGTAGTCTTGGCTATATTATTCTAGTAGTCTTGGATGTGCCATTCTGGTAGTCTTGGCTATATTATTCTAGTAGTCTTGGATGTGCCATTCTGATAGTCTTGGATTTTCCATTCTGGCTTCTGTTTACCATTCTGATAGTCTCGGATGTGCTATTCTGGTAGTCTTCGATGTGTCAGATATGCCATTCTAATAGTCTTGGGTGTGCCATTCTGTTAATCTTGGATATGCTTTTCTATTAGTGTTAAATGTGCAATTTTGGTAGTTTTAGATGTGCCATTCTGATAGTTTTAGATGTGCCATTCTGATAGTTTCAGATGTGCCATTTGGTAGTTCTAGATGTGCCATTCTGGTAGTTTTAGATGCAACATTCTGGTAGTTTTAGATATTTTAGATGCTCCATTCTGATAGTTTTAGATGTGCCATTCTCTTAGTTTTAAATGTGCTATTATGGAAGTTTTAGATGACTACAATTTGCCATTCTGCCATTTATTCATAACTGGGCCTCCTAAACACGGCTTAGTGTGTTAACCAGTAACCAGGCTTTCCTGGAACAAGTAACTGTAGCCGTGCTAGTAAACCTGCATTACAGGAATGAGGCCCAATTCTGTGATTGTTGCTTCTCCGGGTAACAGGGTTAAATCAAAGTAAACTTTTCTTGTGTCCCTACCCAGGACTGCTTAACACTGCATCTATTTTGTTTATGAAGATTGCTTGTGCTTACATGTAACCATTGCTTTCATGGCTGACTCTTGTGTATTAAATTGCATGTTGCTTGGTACTTCGGCAGCCTGATGTGAACTGGGAATCCCAGGAACATCGACTCAGCACATTTGGCGGCCACTCTGCACGGAAAACCAAGGCAATGTCGATGTATGGTCACCTCGAGACAGTGCGAAGTGGTCGGGTTTCAGCGCTTTCTGGAAACTTACCCAGCTCCAAACTTTTACCTCTGGAAAATGTAATTTGTTTTGCCTGACAGTTGACTGAAAACAGGTGTAACTGGTGTAATCTCATAGATATAAAACTGACATTACTAGTAGTAAATGTAAAGATTACAATTAGTCTAATATTTTTTGCAGTTTTCATTAAAATAATTGTGGATTTATAATGAAAAATACCACAGCCTTTTCCTTTGCTTGTCGCTAAATGAATTCTCATATCATCAGCAAATGTTTCTAAATTTGGGCTATTTACATGAATTTAAATATATGACACGTGCGTGTCTCGGCTCCCTACACACTTGTACCAGACCAGGGAGACAACACACATCTGCCAAGCTGTCTAGAGTTAGTGTAATAGTGTCAATAGTCACAAGCCACAGATCCCGCCCAACAGTGACAAATTACTCTGAACTGAGGTCTACCATCAAAGATTATACACAGTATTCAGACGCCGACATGATGAATTAGCTTGCATCAGGATACATGATGAATACACAATACTACAGTCATTCTTCCTTTTTGCCCATGTAAACGTTCATTGAAGGACTCCTCTTGCCACAACTGTGTTCTAATGGCTGCTATGGGCTGTCAGTACCCGATCGCACAGATCCATCTTTCGTGATTAACGTAATTGTCTCTCGGACGACTCCTCTATCTTGGAGATGCTATCACTAGAGAACATACAGGCTGATCCACAATATCTTGTGAAGATCCATCCAGATCTCTCTGCGGCCTGTCACGTTACCTTGGGATATCACTAATACCTCACATCACAAACTCCATTGCACTGGAACATTGTTACTGCAGCGGCTGCCACAGATAACATGAACACTTGATTCAATCACCTAACGTGACTGATAGGTGCACAAGTCTAGTCTGACAACACCCAGACTAGAACCTGCACTCACACATGTCCACAAAGCTCCCTAAAAATGCTTTACAGTGGCGCACTTAAGAATAGCATCTGCTGTCGGGGACTCTTGACAATGTGTTCTTTCCTTCTGATGTCATGGAGTCAACTCTCCCTGATTCTATGGAGTGAATAGCCTCTAATATCAACCTACAGTTCACCACCTACACGTGAGTTCTCTCATGCCTAGCACGATGACCGGGGTTCACCCTATGGCTTCATCCCATTTCATGGCTATACTGGTCCTTGACCCTATGATCCCAGTAGATGGGTCTGCCGTAAATTTCACAGAGTACCCCCTTAAGTTTTGATGGGAACTCCAGGGGATATACATTTTTTTCACACACACGCACATGCCCACACACACCCACCGACTATCCTTCAAGGGACATAACCCTTTATTTATCCATATATTATATATCCATATATTATATATCCATATATATCCATATATTAGTAAAGTAAAGGTCTCTTTTCCATGCCTTTAGGCATAATAAGAATATAGGGCTTGACCTATATTTTTTTAAGACTAATCAGCACTTGGCTACTATAACTTTACAGTTAAACTTGGTTTCTGGGACTTGTGCCAGGGGATTTTCCTCTGAATGGGGGCACCTTGTGTCATTGGGTGCTTATTGCTCATTGTGTGGTCCTGGTGGGGTTTAATGTCACTCACTCACTTATTCAGTGAGGTTATAAATTATTTTACTTAAAACTAAGTATAAATATATTATAAAGTATTGAAATACTTTATGTTTTTGTATTGAATAATGATTAACTTGTATAATATAAAAATAGCACATAGATGCATGCATAGATGGTCTGTGTTTGCATGTATTTATATATATATATATATATAAAACCCTCTTGTACTTGACTGAATTTGTAATGCGAAAGACATTTTAATTCCCAGTGGAACTATTAACATTGAAATAGTAACTGTAGCTTCAAATAATGTGGCATTTATGTAAAAACTGGTTGACTTTTTTTTTTTTTTACTAAATATTCTTTGAACAGTTTAGTTGCTGAGGTTTAGTAGCTTAACCACGTGCAAGTGACTTTACTTTAAAAAAAAAAAGTTATGCTTGCTATTATAACGTTTACTAACATAAAAAAAATGAATACTTTTTTTTATTTTCAACACCTTATTATATTTACTAAGTTTTGCTCACTATAAAAATGTTTCTAACATTACAAATAAATATGTTTCACTTATTATATTTACTAAGTTTTGCTCACTATAAAAATGTTTCTAACATTACAAATAAATATGTTTCACTTATTATATTTACTAAGTTTTGCTCACTATAAATATGTTTCTAACTTTACATTATATTTACTAACTTACTAAAAAAAAAAGAAAAGGGGGGGGGGGGGGGGGCGCAGATGAATGTTCTAAAATTTGTAACCATTATTTATAATGTCACTCACTTCTAGTACATTTACGGCAGGATTTTCTTCATCCGTGCAGCCCTTGTTTGCCCAGCCTTATCAAAAATGGGTACCTCATAATATTTTCTGGGAAATGTCTAGGAAAGAAAGGCAGCGAGGAAGGGAAATAGTGACCTCACCCTGTATGACATCTTCATCATCATCACGGTCCCATAAGACTGTGTGCCACTGGCTCACCAGTTGTTGTTGACTATCATATCTGCTCCAGCCATCTGTCAGGGTCCCATGTGGCTGTGGGATGTTTGCAAATGATAATGATAAATAGTGAACTTGTGACCGAACAAAGGCGATGAAGCAACGGGTTTTCCCAAAAGGCTTGTGCAAGATTGCGCAGTGCGGGAGTTGGTCGGGGAGTTGGTGAGAGACGGACATGGAGACTGGACGTTGTTGTTTTGACCGCTAGATGTGGTTATGTTCTGACTGATGTTAGTGACAGGTAGTTTCGGGTTAGGGTGTTAGTGTGACGGTAGAGTTAATCATGTGTTAGTCTGTGTTAGCAAGAGGTAGGGGATTAGGGGTTTTCTTAATAGTATTCATTGATGTATTCAGTTAGGCGTCCTTGAAGGGTTGATCAGGTTACGTGACATGGTCTGTCCACTCACTCTGGCCAAAGACATGCAGTAGCACCGCGGTCCAAGTGTAAGGCGCAGTAGCGTCAGAAAGAGCTTTAAGGGAGTCTGTTGGTTCGGACCCATGTCACAGCCGTAAGGCCCACCAGTTGTTGTTGACTATCATATCTGCTCCAGCCATCTCTATCAGATGCAGTGGACTTGATGTTTGTGGCAAGTTTATTCAGCCAAATTCTGCATCCAAGTCTTTCTTTGTCTGTGTTTTCTGCTCTTTCCCACCTACAAAACCCTAATCATATGTAGTAACCTAGAATGTATGAAGGCTTAATTTGACAGTATCTGCTATGGAACTATCTTTAATACCTTTTGTTGTCGGTGGTGATGCAGAAACCACTATAATATTTAACCAACCATCTTTCCTCTTTACTTTTCTTTAGGAGCATGAGCATGTGGAAATTTTTATATTTCCAGAAGTTTAAAAAAAAATAATGATTGTCTATGCTTCTTCTTTGTTTGTCCATAAAAGGTGTTGCTGGCACATTGTGTTGTGATCTGCATCTGCTCTGTGGTATTCTTTCAGTTCAGGACATTCTATTTCAGCAAATCCTTAATTAGCCGCCTTCAATAACATGCTTATTAAGTGGTTTTGGTCTGCCCCCCACCCTTTTCAAATGGGGCCTTAAAATTCACAAGTGGAATTATAATTTATGAATGTGTTTTATTTATTATCCACCCCCATTTGATGGTATGACCACATGTCCCCAGTTGCCAGTATTGTGTCTACAATGTGCCAGCCCCATTTCATGACATCTAACATGTCCACATCTTGGCAGTATTGTGACTACAATGTGCCAGCCCCATTTCATTACATCTAACATGTTCACGTCTTGACATTGTTCTGTCTTCAATGTGCCAGCCCCAGTTCATAACATCTAACATGTCCACATCTTGGCAGTATTGTGTCTACAACGTGCCAGCCCCAATTTATTACATCTAACATGTTCACGTCTTGGCAGTGTTGTGTCTACTAAGTGCCAGCTCCTGTTTTATGACATCTAACATGTCCACATCTTGGCATTGTTCTGTCTACTAATTACCAGCCCTAGTTCATGACATATAACATGTCCATATCTTGGCATTGTTCTGTCTTTACTGTGTCAGCCCCTGTTTCATGACATCTAACATGTCCTTATTTTGGCAGTATTGTGTCTACAATGTGCCAGCCCCATTTCATTACATCTAACATGTTCACGTCTTGACATTGTTCTGTCTTCAATGTGCCAGCCCCAGTTCATAACATCTAACATGTTCACGTCTTGGCAATATTCTGTCTTCTAAGATTTTTGTGATCCTGTAGTACGCGAGTTCATTTTCAACTGTGGATGTTTAAAAAAAATTGTTCTCTCCTGATTTTCGAAAGTGGTAAGAGAATCTCATCCTAGAAGAGATTGGGGCTTCACATTGTAATGTCCAAGTGACAGTCATGCGTAGACTGTAGCCAATCTTCATTGTGGAGATGGCACATTCATTTATTTTAGTCATACATGCAGCAAAATGTACAGTGTATATATATCTGTATGGATCACTCCAATATTGATAGTGTCCTTGTTCTTTAGGAATTTGAGAGCAGTGTGTCCACATCACTGCTGAGAATGGGAGAATTGGGAGTAAAGATCGGCACACAGCCAACCATAAGAGGCACACCGGACAGACAAGAAGTCTTGTTAACCAGAATATGACTGGTGGTGTTAACCGCAGGACACTGATGAATATGTTGGAATCTGAGCACCTATGTGATGAGTGCTGTGAAGATAACCAAACTCATAACTCATATCTATACAGTGCATTTATATTTATCAGAATAAGTCATAATTTTAAATATGTCTTTGACAGTATCTAAGCTGAACTTCTACTTGATTTTTATTTCATGTTTATCATCATATCATATTTCCTGACCAAGCTATGAGAATCACTAATCACAAACTAAATTTTTCAACCAGAACATGTGTTTATGAATGTAATACTGCAAGTAACAGCTTTTAATAGGATGTTTACATGCTGCTTTAACCTTTTTCCTATTATCTAAAATGCTTAAACTGAACCTGTAAATCCTTTGTATTATTTTAAAACCCTTCTTAATTAAATTGTAACCACAACTTATATATATAACCTTGTACCTTTTGTCTTTAGTTTACCCAAAGTTTTTTGCTAGCTGCAGCTTGCCCATTATTATACATGAAGGCATTACGTTGGAGACTTTCAAAAATGACATACTTAAAAATCTATGGAGGAAACATTACCACCAGCAACACCATCATCATCATCATCCTTTTGGGTCATTGTATGTCACATAGGGATCACCTTCTCTTCTTCCTTTCCATTCTTTCCTGTGCAATTGTTTCAATATCATGGATGGAATCCAATGCATTAACTTTGGTCTCTCTCATCAACATTTGTTCTGTGGTTTCTTATGCACGTTCTCGCCTCCTCGGTGCAGTTGTTTCTCTTTTAAGTACGTGTTTGGTGATTCTCTGTTTGTTTCTTCTAATATATCACCATCTTCTTTATCATTTAACTGTTGATACAAAAAACATTACCAACCTAGGCCTAATTCCAGTCAGTCTGTAAGTGTTTTGCTATATTAGAGCTCAATTATATTCTAGTATTCTTCTCATGGGAAGTTCTGGTATCAGCATTGCATCTAATGCTAGATTCTGAGCTAGGAGAGTAAAAGGAGAATCCTGCAACACAGTCCCTATGGAGATTAGTCTGGTACTAGATGAGGACAGTCTCTACACCAACCTTGGTCTGGTGTGATAGCTGCCAACTATTTTCTGGGCTTATATGGCCCAATTGCTGTTGCGTCAGCTAGAGGCACAGTTTTCTAGAGGATTCCAAATCAACCAACTCTTTATTTGATGACGCCTTCCTGTGGGCATTCTGGGGCCCTATTTTGAGGGTAAAATGAATAGACCCACTGCTTCCCTAACACGCATAACATCAGGAGTGTTTTCTTAGAAATTGGAATGCATCTGCTTGAAAAGCGAGGAACCATGGTCTGCAAACAAATGAGCCAGGTCTGTAGACAGAGGTGCACACAAAACTCAAGTTTGGAACAAGACCCGTCCAGAAGTGGAATGAACAGCTAGAACTTTCTGTCAGAGTATACAGCCAATAAATACTAAGAAGAAGACACACTCTTTTGATTGTTTAAGCTTCAAACTATCTTCTGCTGCTCTGATTGATTAAGCCTCAAACTATCTTTTGCTGCTCTGATTGATTAAGATTCAAACTATCTTTTGCTGCTCTGATTGATTACGCCTCAAACTATCTTTTGCTGCTCTGATTGATTAGGCCTCAAACTATCTTTTGCTGCTCTGATTGATTAAGCCTCAAACTATCTTTTGCTGCTCTGATTGATTAAGATTCAAACTATCTTTTGCTGCTCTGATTGATTAAGCCTCAAACTATCTTTTGCTGCTCTGATTGATTAAGCCTCAAACTATCTTTTGCTGCTCTGATTGATTAAGCCTCAAACAATCTTTTGCTGCTCTGATTGATTAAGCCTCAAACTATCTTTTGCTGCTCTGATTGATTAGGATTCAAACTATCTTTTGCTGCTCTGATTGATTAAGATTCAAACTATCTTTTGCTGCTCTGATTGATTAAGCCTCAAACTGTCTTTTACTACCCCCATTTTACCATTCTAAAGGGTGGTCTAGGAAAGGGGAACTGGGTATGGGGGTGGGGGGGAATTATCTTTTTGAGTGACAAGTATTTAATTTATGTCATTAGCAACCTCAGCTAGGGATAAATATGTTATGTAACCATTGCTAGTGATGTGTCGTTATTTAATGAACTAAATTATGTATGAAAGTGTAGTTACTGCATAGCACACTTTTATCTGCGGCGTCCGTGGCTAAGGCGTTGCGAGTCTGACTCGTAATCCAACGTACCGCGATCGAAACCCGCGTGGGCTGCGTGGATTTTTATCATGGTATGGGATGTCGCAGGTCGACCCAGCCTCAAATGGGTACCAGAATGGGCTGTCCTGGGAAAGTAAAGACGGCCAGCGTAATGCTGACCACATTATCCACCGAGTGCCGATGGGTCTGTAAAAATATGGGTGCTCTTCCCATATGCCCGATGCGCCTAAGGGCGTGTAAAGGGATCTTAACTTTTTTTTTTTTTACACTTTTATCTTACATGTTGTAAGTAAAGGACCCTTTTTTCCCCACACCAATGGCACATAGGGCATATAAACTCAAATTTTTTATTGCCTGATTGGTCCTCCGTGGATGTTTTGGTCATTATGTAATGTCACATGACTAACATATTTCTTTCCTTTTGTTTTTCCTTTGCTCCTAACCTAAGTGGCTGCTTTCCCCTTCTGTGATTTGTATGAATTATCTCCACCTATGCCTCTCTTGCTATTATTTTTGTTTCTGCCAGGGCATTTCATGCCAAATTCTGGAGTATTTTCTGACTATTGCACATTTTTAGTCTATCAGTTTACCCTTGGGTCTGTTCCTTTAAACAATCCAGCTATCCTTGACACACAACCATATTGTCTTTGTCTGCATGTTTTCACCTTGGCTAAGATGTCTAGGTATGATTCGCACATAACTGATGTCTTGAATGCTCACATTCCTATATACTCAAGCATTAAGGATGCAGTATATGGCATCACTACCATTCATGCTGCATTAATACAGTGCAGGTCTGGTAAGCCCCAGAAATGGTTCTTCTTATCAGAAATTCCTCTTATCCAAATAAGAATTCAGCAAGAAAACTTGCTAGGCATAAATGGATTATTCTTCACAACAGAAATTTACCACATCCGAGATCATTGTAAGCGGTCTCTACTGTGCATCTTAGCATGACAAATCCTAGGTATGTTGGTAAAAGCATTTTTTATCAAGGGGGACTTCTTCAGTGGACAAGGTTTTATCAGTGTATACTCTTCATGTTGATATCCTGACATATTTGTTGCTGGTGTATTGAGTGTCACAACATCCATATTTCAGATGGTATCATAATGCCTTATATGGATTTAATAGTATTAGAGTATGTTGTAGCAGCAAAATAAGTTTGCCATACCATACACAAATCTTCTTCTCCTCCTCCATCACCATCACCCTTAACTTAAATCTTGTTATTTTTTGAATGCAGAGTTTGTGAGTTACTTGAACAGTTACCTCATATCCTAATGAAAAGGCACATGTTCAATTGTTTATTTTTTAATGGATTCAGGATCTTAGTCGTAGCCCACCAAGAGCCACAAACCATCAGCGACCAACAAATCTGGCAACCTCAGCTTCAAAGGGATCTTTGCAACCTTTAACACTTGAAGTAAGTTCTACCAGTAGAATAACTTGACCAAATTTTGTTGCTCATTTCACTGTAATAATCATTGATCAAGCTTATGCTGTTTGTGACCGAGTTGTAAACGGTGTTTACTGTAATTTATGTTTAAAATACATCACCTTTTCTGATCTTTTAATAAATGTTTCTGTTGTCCAATCTGTGTTGTCTTTGGGGTCAAAATAGGAGAAATTATAACCAACTTCACATGGGAGCAGTCAGGAGTGGTACCTAAGGATATCTGCTGCATTGGAAGACTTAGCACGCATGGGAATACTGAGTGTGTCGTGACATTTATCATAATAACATAACATAACATATTATCTAATCACAAATGTCTTCCTTGTCTGAATATTGTTTGTCATTTTTCTGTCTTATATCTTTATCTAAGGCTTTTTTCTTCTGTTTGTTCCATGTTTTTCTTTTTCTTTTAGTAATATCTTTTTTCCCCTCTATCCTGTCATTTGTATAATCTTTAGAGCTGTCACTATTTGTTTTTGGTGCATTTTTCATACTATTAAAGAAAACCCTGTCTTAACATGTTTTCTTCTAACCGCTGGTGTCTCTTCAGTCTTTTCAATATTGTTTTAATGTTTAAACACTTTTGAGTTTTTAATTTCTTGTTTAGTCACATCACTTAGGCTATTTTTCCAGTGGATTATGTCTGTCTAACCACAGGTCTTCTATTAAAACACTAATAATAATTCTAGTAACCAAATTTGTTTATGCACGTTGTATTAAAGAGACAGTTTTTATTTCTATTTTTCCAGCCAGTATTTATTAACACAGTAAGTCTGCTGCCTAATTATTATTGATCATATATGCTCTTTCACACAATCTGATGCATATTAATCACTTAATGATCATGCATGCAGCTTTGAAAATATTACACAAAACAAAGTAACCATTTTTTTTTTTCTCATTTCTCTGCAGTAAAGTATATGTTTTCATGTTCTTTTATTGTCTTTGAAACCACAATAGTTTGGTCACATCGATTTATGTGCAGGAAAAAAAAAAGAAAAAGTAGTGACAACCATGGTGAAAGTACACAGCTTACAAGAGAGGAGACAGTCAAAGCACTGCAGCGGGAACTTGACAGACAGACCAGAAAGTGTAGGGAATCAGTGGCTGGAGTAAATGCAGCTAAGGCTTCAGTAACATGGTTGTTAATAAACCATAGATTTGTTGAGACACCCACATCTATTGTCAGTATGTATGGAGATGACATTGAAAGGTCATAAACTTATTAGAACAATAGATGCAGACAGTGTTTTTTGTGTGTGTGGACATGTTATGAGAAGGAATGGACTTGAAAACTTGGTGACAACTGGCAAGATTGATTGAAAGAGAGCACGAGGAAGGCAAAGAGATCAATACCTGGATGGCCAGGCCAGATGAATGGAGCGGGTCAATAACACTGAACTGATTTGTGATTCTGGTGATCATGTGAGTTGGCAAAACATGACAGTCTGTGCTTACTGGCAGGGCACATGTTGATGATGATGATGCTATATATCATTGACCTGCCATATAGGGTCACTAAACACAAGATGACTTGTTAATCAACATAGAACTGGTACTATTACTGAGGGGAGGATCTGAGCACCTATGGACATGTCCGGAGTGCAATGATGATAACCCAACTAACTAACTAACTAACACAAGATGGCCTGGATGAGGGCTTAGCTAAGTGTTGTTGCTGACATAAAACATCCCCTGCACAGCTGCCTATAGATGAGCAAAGGTAAACACTTAGAGGGGATGGTTCTTAATGACGGAAGCAGAGCACACCATAAGCCAAAATATGCCTTTGGGAACATGTTTAGAGCTCAGTGCTGAATGGATACAGACACAAAGAATCCATGAGCACATAAAATAAAGGCCCTCATCTATAAGCACCCTGGACTAGATGACATCATCATCATCTGTACAGATGGCTCAGTGATTCATGGATGTGGTCTGGGTGGGCATACACGGCACAGATGAATGGTTAGGTTAGTTGCGTATCCCTTACAGGACGTTGCAAAACCAACCCCAACAGCCCTTGGCTGTGTGTTTTTTTTTAAAGGCAAATTTACATCAAGTAGTTTGCCATTGCTTTTTTGGACAGTCTGCTTTCTTGATACCACTGTCCAAACCAGCGCAAGGCACATGGCCCGCAGCTGGGATCAAACCCGGCATCCCGGCATTTAGAAGAGTTCGCATCGACTAAGCCACAGAGCCGACACAGATGAATTGGAAGAGAGTAAAAGATGAGAGTCAGGCATTCAGTTCAACTACTTTTAGTATGATGACAAAGATATCAGCTGTCACAGGGGTACTTATGTGGCTGGCGAACAGAAAGCAACTCAAATATTAAACATGCTTAAAAGAAGATGCAAACTGGCAAATTCTGACTAGAATGGGTCGACAGCATACAGAAGTCCCACCTCAAGTAGCCAACGATCTTGGCCTTGCATGTAAGGGTGAGAGTAAATGAAAGAGCTGACAGACTGGCCACATCTACAGTAATTAGCAGAAGAAGAAGTATGGACAGTTGAGTTGAGTTGAGTCAAGAATTGACATCACAGCACTTGGGGCATTCCCATGCATGCTCCATCCTCATATTCAGCAGCCAGTGCAGAGTTCCAATACTAATGTTACTGATCACAATCTGGTTATGTCCTTTTTGCCTTACCTCTGAGTGTAGTAGGCCTGGCAAGACACTCTGGTTACACCCAGATGCCTCATTCTCTCCAGGCCATAAAAATCTTCTATCTCGACTGATTCCGTTGCTTGTTCCCAAAGAGCCTAGACCACAATCGCCCTATCATGTATCAATTCACCACCCAGTGGTGCAGAACCAGCCAGTCTGTCTGCCTGTTTATCAACCACCACGCCGGCATGGCCCGGAGAAAAGATCCAAAGTATGCTCACTACCCGTGACTTTTCCAGTGAAGTATGGACAGAGCAGACATACTGAATGCACTGAGTTCCAGAGACATTGAGACAAAGGAGTCAGAGATGATGACCTACCTATTGGAAATGGGTATTAAACAATGACAGACATACAGAAACCAGTTGCAGGATAAAGAAAGAAGATATACTAGTCAACTCCTACTAGGTATGGTAAGCATGGAGACACTGAGATGTCTGCTGCATTGGAGAACCAAGCGTGAATGGGTTGGAGGGATGTGCTAGGATGTCGATATCGATAAGAAGTAACAAAACTTTTTACTACAAAAAATGTTCCTTGTTCACTTTACTGTTTGAGTAATTACCATCACTAATGTGTTCAGCTTTATTATTTCAATTAAAATATTTACACGAGCGAATATACTGTACTTTACACTTATTGGTACATTGCTGATTTTTGCACCAATTCTGCTTGTAAAGTGCCCATACCTTTCACTTTCACGGGGCTGTTGTTACTTTTGATTTGTTAAACTGTCAGCTACGCATGACTAGAAATTTGTTATATTTTCATATGCAGTTTATGTACAAATGATTGAATAATCTTGAGAAAAGATGATTTCACGTCTGGGTTCTGGGACACCTTCTGGAAAAGGGGGGGGGGGGAGGATAGGTCTAGACATCTTTAGCAAGAGAACACTAATTAAGTATTTATTCAAATTAAAAGTGTTAGGATAAAGGTCACAGGTAATGCAGACTAGCTGTAAACTACAACACAATGTGCCAACTGCTCTTTTAAGAGGAAGGCTGGAAAAGAATGAATGAACAAACTTTATTTTTAAAGGTTTGAAAATTGGGCACACAGGCCAGTTTAACATTTTGCCCTTCTGGCCTCATTCCTTTCAAGCACTATTTAATTTGTACATCATTTAATAGGTAATAATGAATATCATCGACAAAAACTAAGTTATAATTACAAATACTGGAAAATTATGTAATTATAACCCTCATTTTTAAACAACAATAGTTCTTAGTTATAAATCTAGAGGAAATGTATCGTATGCTTAAAATACTGTTATTTAAATTGGCATGTAGTCTATAATAAGATAATGTTAAAACATTTTTTTTAAATTGTATGTATAGAGGTTAGTGGTATTTTTGATTTGCCGTGGAAGATGGTTCCATAGATGAGCTGCATAGTATGCTCAGCATGTTTTGTATAGGTCTCCTAGGTTTAGGGATGTGTAATATTTTTAGGTATTTGCTATGTCCATTATATATATATCATCATCATCATCATAATTAGGTGCCTTGCTGACTGGCTTGGGCAATCATGCCTCTCCACAATCTGCGATCTCCTGCAGCATGTATTAGCTCGTGTGCTGACTCACCTCCATGCCATGCAACAAGACTGTCAAGAATCTTCTCTCGTTGTCTTCCTCTATCCCTCCTTCCACAGGTCTTAGCAGTGGTCACAACATGTTCCATTTTCATTCTCATAACATGGCCGAAAAATGATGACTCTCCTTCTGATGTCTGTGATATGTGTCTTCGGGCTCCCGCCTCTTTCAAAACCTCTTGGCTGCTCTCCAAGGTATTTTAAGCATTCTTCTGTAAAACCACATCTCTGAGGCCTCAAGAACTTGTTTGGCCTGCCTGCCAGTTGTCCAGAACTCACAGCCATATTTAGCAAGCAAGAAGTCTTTTTCTAACGTTCAACAACAGATATATATTGCATAAGATGTTCTTTATTTGATAAAATGCAGTTTTTGTCTGTCCTATTCTGTTCCTCATCTCTATTTCTAATATATATCTATACAAATTCTTCATATATATATATGACCAAAAGTAATATGGAGCATTTCGAGATAAGATTTTGTGAATAAGTTTCTTCTCATAGTCCGTGCAATAGGGCATTGGTGGTCATGTCTTTCCACAACAATCTGTCTCATTTCTTTCAGCCATTTCTGACACAGATGATCTTCCATGCCATGAAGTCAAATGGTCCAGTATCTTCTCTCTTGGTCTCCATTGGCCTCTTTTCCCCTCCAACTTTCTCACTGTCACGATATACTACAGTTTACTCCTTCTCCTGACATAAGCAAATAATGTAGATTGTCCTTTTCAGATACAGTCTGTCAGTCCTCTTCACGAGTCACTTTCTTTCAAGATGTCTTCATTACTTTTTTTATTTGTCCAGAGACTTCTCATTATTCGTCTATAGAACCACATCTCCACCACTTCCATGTAATTCTTTCTTAATTAATTGGCCATGCTTCACCTCCAAATATCATGACAGGATTTAGTTGGCTTTTGAGAATTCTCTTTCTCACTTCAGTTGGATATTCTTTTTCCTATTGAGTTTTAAAATTATCTCTTTTTTTGGGGGGGGGGGGGGGGGGGGGGGGGGGGGGGGGGGGGGGGGGGGGGGTGTGAGGGGGGGGGGGTTAAAACTGGAACTACTTTGGTTCTGTGAGTATAAAATACTAATTAAATGTACATTAAAAAAATGTACATGTAGTTATGCAATACTATTGTGTACTTTAGAATAAAGTAATTTGGTGATTTATTTTCTTTAATATAAACTACCAGTTTTATAACCCAAGTATAGTTTAAACTATTTATAATTTTAATTCAGTTCAAATTATCCTATAAATTGTCCAGTTTACTCGAGCATGTTGCAAGCTACTTTTTATATATCTCTGTGTATTCATTAGATTGCCTGATATTTTAATCCCAGATTTATTAACTTGAGTATGTATGTACAGTCCATTAGTTGATTGCCTGCATTGATGTGTGAACCAGTGATCAATATTTTCACTGGTATATATACCCAGAGTGAATGTGTCAGAGTGAGAGAGAGAGGAATGGGGAAAAGGGATGGAATTATCTTGTTTAGATGAGGATTATGTTTATGTGACGTTTGGAGGAGAAAAAACTCTTGTGTGTAATGGAATAAACAAGAAATCAGGCAATTGATTCTTTGTAGCAAAAATGGCACCCTCTAAGTTAAGTACTGCAGATTATAGTTAGAAATGTACTTTTTAAATAAAAAGAGTATTATATGTTATACTCTTTTTGTGTTCTAAAATTTTCAGAAACATAACTGTTTAATATTGATATTTTATGCAGATTTTTTGGCATTTGGTTAACATTTGTTAAGTTGAACTGGCATAATTTCTGAAGTTTATCTTTTATCTTCCACCTTCTTTCACAGAGGAGGTTCATATGCTTATATTTCCTGGCAGTGAGTCACTAATTATATAGTGTGATTTTCTGCCAGTGTATTCTTTAGCACAGTGCTCTTTAGTAATTATTATTGCTGCTGCACGTGTCTTTAAATCTTAATTTATTTACATATTTTTTTGTGTTGTACATGTACTCGATCATTTAGGCGTTGCAGGTCCGATTCCAACCTCATCAAAACCCACTGCTGGTTACCTGCGTAATATTGATATTTTATGCAGATTGTTGCTTTGCCTAATTTCTATTTCTTACTTTCTTCGTTTCTGCTCGCAACTGGAAAAGCAAATTAAGAATTTAAAGGTTGTTACTTCTAACTCTCCACTGTTTGCATTGTTGACGGGTCCAAAGATTTGACATAAGATGGTGGAGAGATAGATACAAACAAACCTACAAATACCTGGAGACACCAACTGTAAACAGAGGGCCAGTTTTTGAGATAAATGGAGCCAGTTGATATTTGCAGCAGTGAATGAAACTCAAGAGCTCAGAATGCTGAAGAAGAAGAAAAAGAAATGTGTAGCCGTATATACTAACATGTACACACTGATACCTACACCAACACATACAGATTAGTACCACATTAACTGCTAATTTGTTGACAAAAAAAGAATTTAATGTGGTCATATCTTGCTCTGTTTAGGATGTCCATGAAGGCTATCTTTACATGACCAAAATCTTGGATATCAGCAAGAAGAAAGTCAAGTAAGTAGTTGAAGAAGTCAGTTTAAAAAGTCAGCTTAAGAAGCCATTTTTAGATATCTAACCAAGGAATGAACAAACAAACTTTATTTTTGAATGGTTAAAAATTGGGCAAACAGGCCTCTCTTACATTCAGCCCTTCCATGCACTCCTCTTTGAGACCACCATTGCATGTTATCAATAATGCATTTTATGTTTTTCATAATGCTATTATATCTACATAAAAATATAAAGAAATATAATTAAATAATGCATACACACATCATATATACAATCATACACATTAGATCTTTATTATAATGGTTGACTGTTTCAGAAAAAGCTGGACCCAGATTTATCTAGTGCTGCAGGGATCAAACTTAGTCTTCTATAAAGACCAGAAGGCAGCGTCACAGAAACAGGGATCTCCCTTTGGTAAGCCGGAAGCTGTTGTCAGCCTGCAAGGTGCCCACTTAGATATAAACCCAAAAGAACTGACCAGCAAGAAGAATACAATATTGGTGAGTATTTACTAAACCATAAGTGAGTACTACATATTATTAGTAATGATATTGTGAAGTGAGTCAATTAGTGGAAAATTATAGTTCATAAGTTTTATTTAAGGTGAAAGACCCATTTTTACACCATTGTTGTGCTGAGGGTATGATCCTGGACTCATGTTTGTTTGCCCCCTATAGACTCAGAAACTACTGAACCGATTTAGCTGAAATTTTCAGGATATGTTTGTTTTGATACCGGATGTTGAACCATCATGGTTTGAAATTCAACCTGTCACTGTTAGAGATAGGTGACCACAATTTATGCCATAATATTCGAAACTAATATTTATAATTTTAGTGATTTCTAATTATAGCCACGTTAGTAATTGCGCATGCGCCGTGCAGCCAACACCTCCTCTAATACATAGAGTAGGTCGTGGTACAGCAAACAAGACTATATCTATATCTGTGCAGGCAATGATAGCCACAATAACTATATTAGACACGATTTCTATTTTCTTTTTTTTTTTTTTCAAACATCCTTCGATGAGTTGAAAAGTAGCCGATGGATTGGTAGGGAAAAAGAGGGAGTGGGGGCATCAGGGACTATCTCGACGTCTGCGCAGACATTGACTGCGACATTAACCGTGTTAGACACGTGCAATTTCTTTTGTTGTGCCGTTTCATTAATATATTTGGAATATCTGTCTATGAGAAAACAATTGCCTGCTGTTTTGAGTTGTGTTATAATGGGGACACTGCAGTAGGGACACACATCTAAAATAGTTATGTTCTCTTTTCGTTATTCTGATCGAGTGGTTGCTTGGTCGAATGGTTAGAACACTCGGCTCTTGAGAGGGAGACCAGGGTTCGAATCCGCAGTAGTTTTTTTTTTTTTTTTTTACTTAGGGCTAAAATAAAATCCTCACCTGCACTGTCGTGGCGACAGCACTAGCCATATGGCCCCCTAATTATATATATTTAAATTAAAAAAAAAAAAAACAAGGACAGGTTTGTGGGTAAACCAGTTGATAATTAAATTTGAACATTTCACATACTTATGATTTCATTTTAAACTTTTCGATTGCATGGTTATGCTGAAATTTCATAGCTTTCCATTTATTTTCATTTAGATTTAATTATTTCATATGCATTGGAATTTTAAGCTGTGCTGTTTACCATAGCGTTCATTTCCTAATTCTGGTGTATTTTTCCTGTTTTAATTGCTTTTCAAATGGTTTTTTTCCCCTCTCAACTACTTCGATGAGGGAAAGAGTAGTCGGTGAATTGGGGGGGGGGGGGGGGGCAAACTGATTACTGAGAGAGCTTTAAGTCACAGTAACTGCTTTACCCACTCAAAGTAGCAGCAGCAGTAGTAGTTGTGGTTGGGCGGTTACACCGTAGTGCTCTCATGTGAAGTCCGCCGGTAAGGTTATGGCATTCTTCTGTCGGGGAGCGAAATCATACATCCTAACCCGACCAGTCCGTGGCGACAGCACTAGCCATGCGGCGCCAAATCTTCTGGCTCACGACTCCCTGTCTACTCCGATGGTAAAACAGATAGCAGTGACATTATTTTAGCTACTATGGTGGTGGTCGTGGTAGTAGTTGTACTGGTAATTGAAGGATGATGCCGTAAATATTACATTAGCCCCATTCACTACCTATTACAATTCCTGCTCCCAATTTAGTCCGGATGGACAGGGAGGTCAATGTCAGTTACAACAAAAAGAATATCGCAAGGTGATGATCTTTCAACGCGTTGTGTTCTTCATCTCTAGTTACTTTGCTAACTAGTTCTAGTGTCTGTAACTGCCACCTGGCTTCTAGTGCTGTCTTGTACTAACGGCTTGATCGTCGACTCTAACATCTTAATAGTCTTCCAACCTAATGTGTCTCTGTTAACCATGGATCCATGTTTCTCGTGTGTCGTCTCTGTAGTTTGATGTCTTGTTTCATGTCTCTTCTCTAGTGTCCGTCTTCGAGGCTCCATGTGACTGGTTCCTCTGCTTTTAAGTCTCGAAGACTCTTTGAGTCTCACCGGCTGAAGGCTTGCTCTGAGGGTCCATATTACTAGTCCACTTTCTAAGTCTTGTAGACTGAAAGCTTTCTTCGAGAATCCATATGACTGGTCCCTCATCTCTTGAGTCTTGTGGACCCTAGTGGTTTCTCACTCATTATTTATACTTAGATGCTGGAATGCTGGTTATTTGTTTTCTCCTCACTTTTTCTGCTTCTAGAATATTCTAGTACGTCTCAACATGTTTACTATGTACTTTCTCACGTGGGATTTTCTAATTATATCTCAACTGCATCAGATTTCATTATCTTATTCTGCGCAAATATAGTAGTTAAATTGACAGCTGGCGTCATATAAACTCCTAAAAAACAAGTACTTCTATGTTCTTTCTGAAAGGGCTCGTCAACAATGACCTCAAATACTATTTACAAATATTGTTGCTAAGACCTGTTGATTTTCTTCTCATTAAGTAATACACAAAATTCTATCTCCTGACAAAGAAGTGATGATGTCAGTATTTAGTTTTGGCAGGAAAAGAAGGTTACCAAAACTTGTTGATCTCGGTACATCCCTGCTCTGTGCCAAATACTACCTCCTAACAATCAAGCTCCCTGTTACAGGATGTTTCATTTGAAGTCAGAGTGCATCTGCCTGAAACGCAAGGAACCAACAGTCTGTATACAAATAAGTAGTAGTAGTAGTAGTTCCCTTTTCCCGCCTTTCGGCGCATCGGGCATATGGGCAGAGCGTCCCATATTTTTATAGACCATCAGCACTCGGTGGGTAATGTGGTCAGCATTACGCCGGCTGTCTTTACTTTCCCAGGACAGCCAATCCTGGTACCCATTTTAGGCTGGGTCGACCTGCGACGTCTCCATACCACGACATAAATCCACGCAGCCTGCAGTGGGTTTCGATCGCGGTATGCTGATTTCCGAGTCGGACTCGCAACGCCTTAGCCACGGACACAAAGAAGCTAGGAACAAATCTCAAAGTGTCTGTTCACACAACTGAATAGAGATCCCACAAATGTGTCAAGAGCAATCAAAAGAAAGACCCCTGAACTGATGCAACAGAGTACATATGTATTTTTCACATTGTGTTCAATAATTATTTGTATAGGTTTGTTTCATGGACTGTATTGTTCAGTTCACAAGTGTGGTTTTTACAAAGAATCCTGAGGATTGTCACTAAAGCTGAGAGTTAGTGCTTTGTGTGACCCTCTCTACAGGCTTTGATCATAAGCATAGGGTTCCAGACCCATATTTTTTATTGACTAGTTGACATTCCATGAATAATTTGTCATTATCTTGCCTGCTATCTTTACTGCCCAGGATATTTCCAGTTACCAAACAGATAAAATTTTGAGAGAATTGACTTCATTGCACCAGGTTTTATCCCTTATGGCTCAGTCTTTCTGCAGAACAGCTAGCTGCCTGTGGAGAGCATCACACAGAACACAAACTCCATAGCTCCGGCGACAATCCCCAGGGATATCCATAAAAATTGCACTCGTGAACTGAACAACACAGCCGTGCAATGAACCTACGACCTTCAGAGCGAGAGGCAAATGGCTTGACCACTTCGCCATGGAGACACCGGTCCAGTTACCAGTTTTAGGCTGGATCAGCCTGGAAACCTAGGTCATTTATAAGACATCCGCTTCAGATGTGCAGTTTTGATTCTAAGACTCTAAGGCTGCCATTGAAGTATCTAGCTATTCTAGACTAGTACAGTTCCCATAAGATCTCAGATTTTCCTATAATACAGATTTCTTATTCTGATTTTTTTTCTCTCTAACATTCTGAGCCCTTGAAGTTCATTGCTGCAGATATCGCTCATTGCCATTTATCTCTGTGACTGTCATTAACATTTGTAAACAATTTGAAGATGGTTAGTTCAGCTTCTCATTTCGATTGCTATCTTGTCATGGTGTCTCTGTTACTGGCCTTCTCTTTCCATTTACTGACTTTGAGTGTTTGTAGTTTGGCCTGTATAATATTTCTCCACCATCTTGGTTTGCTGCTAGGTCTACTCACATTCAACTCTTTTGAATACAACGTCTCGTTTTGATTTCTATCTTTTCATGGTGTCCCTGTGCCTGTGCTTCTCTTTCCATTTACTGACTGTTTGCAGGTGTGCCTGTTTGTGCCTGTATATTATTTCTCCACAATCTTCTTGGTCTGCCTCCCATTAAACTCCTTTGTGTACACAGTTTTTATCTATCTGACATTTGCCATTCTCTCTATAAGTCCCAACCCTTGCAGTCTTTTAGTCTGCAAGATGCTAGTAATGAGTAAAAGAAAAGTAAATGACCTTTTTCTAAGCCTTTCAGGCAGATTGGGTATATAGGGCTAGACCTATATTTTTTTAGACCGACGGCGCAAGATGGATCATGGGGTCGCATCACACCGGCCGCCTTTACTTCCCCAGGACTCCATGCCCTACCGATCCGCAGGCGAGGGTCTTGCCGCTATGCCATGGGGACTCTTACTAGTAATTAG